ACACACACATACATGCAGACACACAGACAGACACATAACACACATACATACACACACATACATACACAGAAACACATACACATACATAGACACACACATACATACACACAAACACATGCACACACGTACATACACACATACATACAGACACGCAGACATACACATAAAGACATACAAAAAAACCCACATACATACACACACATACACACAAACACATACACACACATACATACACGCATACATACAGACACACAGACATACACATAAACACATACACACATAGACATGACCCGGCTTCGCCCGGGACTTGGATCCACGATGCGCGGCCACCTTTGTCTCCCCAGTGACGATGTTCACACACGACAGCAGTTACGCGTTTGAGGCTGAGTCGACCTAGGGGAGGCCCAGGTCCGTTTAAAATAATCGTCAGCGGTGGTGGGCGTGAGTTGGAATCGAACTGGGGGCGCTCAACCAGCTTAATGACTATTTGTACAAAGAACATATAAAGAATCGATTATAATAAGCAGGCAACAGTCCACATTATAGACTGCCAGTACACGCACTCAGCTTCATAAGCAGGCTAGAGTGTACATGATAGAGTGGCAGTACGCTCACCGAGCTTAATAAGCAGGCTACAGTCTACATGATAGACTGGCAGTACGCTGACCCAGCTTAATGACTATTTGTACAGTGAACATTTAAATAATCGATTGTTGGCGCGTTGGGTTTAAAAGTAATATTAATTGCACACATTGTGGTGGGGGTGGAGTGAAGAGTACGAAAAACTTTGATGAATTTACCTCAGAGTGGCGTGGTGGGTGTCGAGGCCTAGTAGCGTGCAGAGCCTGCGGCCTCGCCAAAATTGGGCACCCGACAGAGGCAGGGTACGGGTGGCGTTCCTTCCCCCCCCCCCTCAGCGCTCCAACAATACTGTGTAATGGCTATTATTTAATTATTTACGGAGCCTATGAAAGTGGCGAAGGCGTGGCTAGCGGTTGGCAGGGGCAACCGCCGTCCAATGAAACTGCAGCCCTTGGCGAAGGCGTCGCTAGCCGTTGCCAGGTCCAATGAAAGCGGCGAAGGCGTCGCTAGCCGTTGGCAGGGGCAACCGGCGTCCAATGAAAGTGCGTATGGTCCGGAGACACACAGACACACAGACAGACAGATAGACAGACAGATTCGCGATTTTATATATATAGATAGTTCTTTCGTGTTCCTTATGACAACCACTTGTGTTGCGATCGAAACGTCGGGATATTTGTATTCACTTCATTTGTTTTATTGTATTGTCATTTTTTCTATCTACGTGACTTTACCGAAAGAACCATATCATTATTTTGTTCAATTCAGTAGTTAAAAATCGGATGAATTTGGATGTGATTATTATGCGAACAATTTCAAGAATTGCAGTGTTTCTTGGAAAGGGTATCACAGGCTCTTTAACCTCCACTTAGATTATGCCTTTAATTCAGCGGTCGGGAACCTATGGCTCGCGAGCCATATATGGCTCTTCTGGTGACGGCATATGGCTCCCAGACAATTTTGAGTTGAAAAAAATAATAATTTTAAAATAAAAATAAAATCAGTTTGGAACTGATTTTAAAATACTTGTGATATTGTTTAATAATACTGTGTCATTTTAAAGTAAACAGAAATTAGTTTTGAAGATAAAATTTCTCGGGTCACGGGTCCCGTGACCAGAAGTCGCATTAAAAGTAAGACATTTAATTTATTATACGTTAAAAATACTATATGGCTCTCAATGAAATATATTTAGAAATATTTGGCTTTTATGGCTCTCCCAGTCAAAAAGGTTCCCGACCCCTGCTTTAATTGCTACCTGTTGATCCTTTGCAATTTGAAAATTTGTCAAATGCAGTAGCTATTTGGCTTACGTGTTGCAGCAAGCATGCTCCATAAGGTGGTCCATGCTATGGCAAAGGGAATGTCAACTTAAGCACGTTAATGCCATTTGTTATTTGAATATGAGGCTCTGGGGGGTAAAACCACGTCCGATCACTGAGCTGGGGCTGCTGGTGTGCGAGATATTGGATTCGAATTTTAGTGGCCACTCATGTTGAAATCAGGCTTTCTGGCATAGTGAGTTCACGGTCTCAGACCCATCACCAATGCCTGCACAAGACACCTCCTTCAATTTAAATTAGTTTAATTTTTTTTTTATTATCATCAGCAATAACATATACACTGATGTTTGAAGTCCTTCCCGTACCGTTGCCCTCTCACAGTCCACAATCTAGAGAGCACCTTTGACTGGCACTGACGTTAGTTTTGGCCACTGGCCATTCATCATCCCTTCTGGCGTAGGAATGATGTCCTACCCAAACCCACTTTTCTTAAAGCAAAATGTTTAAAATTCTTATTCAGGAAGTGCAACATTTCTGATGATCAGTTTATATGAATGTATATTGCTGATTGGTCACTAATTTGGAGATTTACTAAGAATTGATTCGTACGTTTAGTCTACAGTATTTAATTAATATTAGTGTAAGCGTGTGATTGATTCCACTGCATTAAAGGTAAATGGAGTTTTCACACCTGAAATTACATGGATTCCTTGCAACAAATATCAATTTAGATTGAACATACTAATAGAACCACGCTTGCCTCATTTAAAACAGTTATGAAATTTATCAAAGTGTCTATTACATATCATGTTTGCCACTTAATTTATCTGTGGGATACAATTTCATCTGTTTATTTGAGACTTCATTAAGAAATGTGTTTCTGTTCTTTCACTTGCACAGTCAACAATTTAGCGCCTCTGCTTATTTTGTTAATCTCTGTAGAAACACAAACGCAATCTCCATTTATCCCTGTAGAGGGCGTCTCATCAAGGTTGGCTACTCCAGTCATCAGCTCCTTTTAGCTCTGTTCACCACTAGCATTTACGAGTTTAATTGCGTTGATTATAAAGTAGTTTTACAAGTGTCTTGCCTTGGCTAATGGGATCTTGATCAGTTCAGAATTGTCAGATGTTCGAAGCACTTTTTTCACCCACCTTTTACAGAAAAAACATTGATCCACCGAGGTTTTTCAGACAGAGCAGAAAGACTGAGCAGGGAAATACACCAGTGGTGATTTTGTGTTGGGACTCCGTTGTAGGCCAAAAGGATTGTGTTTGACCATACTTCACCACGCTGGGCAGTGCGAACTGGTGAATCAAAGTAGAGCCGAGGCCGGGTTCAGATTTCACCACAGTGGTTGGGAATCAACATCGGGTCGCCGGCCCTCAAGCACAATTCGCTCACTCAGCCATCCCGCCAGTTGCATAATAACATTTCTTAAGTTAAACGTTAACTTCACTCACGTTGAATTACATTTCAATTCCAAGGAGAGTATCACTTACGGCATTTTTATTTGTGCAACCGATCACCTCCACCGAATAACTAATGGGGCCAGAGCAGAATTGGGTACCAATGGAGGTGGCACTCAATTTATGATACCAGTTTCTGAATTACTATTAACAGTGGCTGATGTGCAAACACATTCCTGCGGAGGGAGCTGGTAGGAACGTTGGGTTGCTCGGTCAATGGCCAGGGTCAACGGCGGCGTGGTGTATTCCGCAAATATGCCCGACTGTGAGGGCGGGCACAAGCCGGCGTGAGTAGGTTAAACGTTGAGTTTTATAAGGGCAACACGGGGTGACCAGCCCCTCCCCACCCAGCCCCACCCCTCCCACCCCCAACCCAGCCCCACCCTCCCCATTCAGCCCCTTCCCACCCTCCCCACCCAGCCCCTCCCCTCCCCACCCTCCCCTCCCCACCCAGCCCCTCCCCTCTCCACCCAGCCCCACCCCTCCCATTTTGGCTGGTGTAACCAGGAGGTTCCTACCAGTAACATACTGATTAAATATAAGTTCAGTTTTTTTGGTAAAATCTTGATTTGAGCGTATGATTTATTCTACCACATTAAAGTTAAATGGAGATTTCACAACAAAAATTTCACAACTAAAATGACATGGCAAATTAACTTAGTTCGTCCAATTGTTTTAGACATCTCATGTGGTATACGAACAAGTTAAATATTTTTTGGACTGGACCCATGGACGAGATAAGCCACACATTTCTTCACCTGAGGACGGCTGCTTGCGTTGTGGCCGAAACGTCGTGAGAATTATTTTATGTTTTATTTTAATTATTTTATTATTTTCCTTCTACGTGACTTTACCGAAAGATCCAAAGAAGATGAAGCCACACATTGTTGAGATTCTTAGTTTTAGGCTTTCAAATTCAATAACTCTACACTTTTCAGTGCATGATGGCAATACGTTCAGGAGTTAAATTCCAAATATCGAGGGCTTCTCAGCAGCACTCAATGTGAATGATTAGCCTCGAGTTCTCCACCCCCCACCGAGGCCCACCGTGACCCCCACCCCCTGGGGTCACCAATCACGCTGCTGACGTTACCCGAGCATACTCTTAAGGTTTTTTCGGTAAAGTCACGTTGGTAAAAATAAATAATAAAAAGAATAGAAATAATAATAAAAATAAAATAATTTTCTTATAATATTTCTATTATTTTTATTATTAAGTTAAACGTTAACTTAATAAAAACAAATATTATAAAAATACTAGAAATAACAATAGAAATAAAATAAATTAGTTTTTATTATTTCTATTATTTTACTCTAAGGTTTTTTTCGGTAAAGTCACGTAGTTAAAAAAATAGAAATAATAATACAATTATAATTGTATTATTATTTCTACAATTACAATTATAATTGTATTATTATTTCTATTATTTTTATTATGAATAAAATAATATAATTTTATTATTATAATAGAAATAAAGTAATCATTGTATTATTATTTCTATAATTTTTCTTCTTTTCCTACGTGGCTTTAACGAAAAAACCCTAAGAGTATGAATCCTTGCAGTCACGAAAGCTTCAAATCTCTAGTTACCCGATCACTCTACGGCACTTGGAGCCTCTTGCCGTGCCACTGCTACGCCGGCGAGCAGCACGTGGCCACGTGGTGGTGGGTGGTGGTGGTGGGTGGGGGGTGAAGTCGGCAGCGAAGAGGCGAGGCAAGACTATAGGCATTCTGTCATCGACCACCGTACGATTGAGCATTGATTATTGTGGTAGTTGTTGTTGTAGAGGCAAGCGATCGTGAAGTGACACGTTAGCGACAGCGAGTGGCGGGTACAGTGCTCGCCACGTGTTTTAATAGCGACGCCGTGAGGAGGCGACTGTTGTTGTAGCTGTGGAGCGAGACTGACGATACGCACACAGTGTACAATAGTCGTGATCAGGGACAGACGGTGTGATTAGTGTAGGCGGGGGAGGGTAATGTGCAGAGTTAGAGGGTAAAGAACGTGGCAGCCGCTACAGTGTTAGTAGTGCCGGGTCGTAGCCAGCGTCACGGCGTTAGACTTCAGTGTTAGCGTTGATCTTCTTTGTTTTGTTTCTTTTGTATCCGCCTACCTCCATCGGAAGAATATCCTACCAAAGGTAACTCCATTGTACACACACAGGAGCAGGGGACATCACCACCAACACTCCAATAACCATGGTACAGGCTGATCCATTTGTAGATACCCCATAGACTGTGACCCTCAACAGCAGCTGAGTGAATCACGGTGCAGTGGAAGAAGCAATGGGGGGCCCTCTTTATCTTACAGGGGAGAGTGTTACGAGGTTTTATAACGTGATCTAGAGATGAGTGGGAGACGTGTAAGATGCTGTCGTTTTTTCTCCCCCTCCACGTGAATTCGCGTTGTTTTTAGTGCGGTATCTGTAAATGGATCACCCCTGTACTGTACGGGGATTAGGACTACCAACACGTTTCGCTGTGTTTAGGGGATGTTAGCGTACATTTGCCAATGTACATCATCTCATATACCCTCGTGTAGATGGGTCATCGTCGTCGGCCGTGATTTATCCACTGCTAGATGAAGGCGATTTCCGTCTGTGCCACCGCCAAAGTTTGATGGCCCTTCGCTGTTAACTGAAGTCTCATTCGTTTACGTTTCTATCTTTATTCATGCTCAGTTTAGTTGAATTCCAAGGCATGCATCTCGCCACGCTTTCTTAATTAGCGTAATTAATGTATCACAGCCGTCGACCCCCCGCACGGTTTAACCCCGCGTTCCTGTGCAGGGAAATCCGAATTTTGAGGGCCCTAAAACGGCGTAAAGACGATTAAAAAACTAATTAATTTGTCGATTTGTTTGTGTTTTTCACTTGTGATGGGACTTTTTAAGGTGAACGTTGGGATTTATAATGGGTACGTGGTGATCGATAAGATCTGCATTGGTCTGATAAGGTAGGGCACTGATAATGGGTTGACAGGTATGATGGTATTATGGTTGGAGGTGCAAGAAACTCCCCACCAAAACAAGAGACACATTCGGCGTCTGCTGTGTAAGTAATTATCAAAGTTATTTCGCGACGTATTCCATCAGCCGCACCACACGGCCTCCTATAGGGGCCCAGTGTTCAAGTTCATTTATTTTTATTTATTAGGTATAGCCCTGTGAGCCATTCGGCTCTCGGTGAAAGATTTCAGCAGCGAAGATTCAGGAGGAGCAAGCTCTGTGGACGGGTTTTGGGACGCGGTGTCTCATCAGCAGTCTCAGGCAGCTTCGCTTGAATCAATTCTCTGTGAGCTGCCAAAGCTCACAGGCAAGGCCCCCCCCCCCCCATGTCTTTTTACGCCACGTGTGCTTAAATGTGTCCGTATTAATATATAGGTGTTGTTACAAAATGGGACATTTTTTTGCAGTAACAAAGTTTGCAAAAAATAAGAAAAGGTTTTTTTTACCCTTTTTTGGGGTTTGAACATCTTAACATGTATTGTAACCTTGGACTGCAAGTTGGCCCAGAGATGGTAGTACACTGGTGGATTGTGGCATCTATGTGAATTTTAGAGTATTAACCCAGTAATATGTGACGGGTTCTCTCCAATTTGCCAAACACCCAAATTTAATTGGCCAAAACCATCCATCCCTTTCGCAAAAATAACACGAAACAAGTTTTCAGATTCGGCTAGGCTTTGTTATCTCAAGGGCATTCATCAATATTAGTAATTGTTACAGCGCAGGATAGGTAATGCACATTGGACGCATCGTTTGAGTTAATTTTCATCACTGGTATAATCGCTATCACACCCCCAAGGGACCAGCTGTCACAGATGCTGAACCGGTTGTGTTGGTGGTGGTGGATGTGTCTGGGATGTACAATTGGTTTGGTGTCAGATGGCAATGGCAGCAAGGTCAAAGCTTGCTTACATATATTGACACAATGTACTGCACAATATGACCGGCATCTGCAAAGACATGATGCGTCCAAAGCTTTAAAGTTGAGTAACGGCTGTTTAATTACAGTGTCCCATTTAAATATCACAATGTGTATATTTAATATAGATATGCACTATTTGAACTATGTAGCACAATTGGTCAAAGTTGATGCTCGAGTGGTAAATTGTATTGCGATAAAGACACATTGGTTTATTAATATATTGCGATTGTATGTTAATGCAGATGGCGATTGTGCTGTGTTATTTAGTATTCCACATTAGCAATGGAAAACTTGACGCGTCTGTCAGCCTGGACTAAATCAGAAGCGCCACTCAAAATGACTCGGCGCAGTACATAATGTACCGCCTACGGTTACATAACACCTTAGGCTAAGAGCAACACGTTTTTATTTAACTTTGTTTGCCTTTTAAACCAGTTGTCTCGTTTAAATGAATTGTTTTTGTAAATGTATTTCAGTTTTTGATACGGCCGCGTCCTGTCTTCAAGAATCCATAAACTACCGCATGAATAAAATATTCCTGTTTGCTGCAAACATTTTGTCCCAGAGCCAACATATTGCGAAGCAAGCTCCCATTTCTAGGGACAGCTAATAGATCACTAAAGCTCACTTTCACAAGGTCACAAGGTTGTGCAAGTTCAAATTCTGATTCTTTCGCAAGCGCAGAAAAGAGCAGCAGATGCACATTCAGAGAAGCGCTGCATCCCTCAAAGCAAATCTTGGAATAAATGTTTAATTCAGCAATTAATAATACATTGATCGATAATACATTGATCGATGTTTTGTTAACTTTGTTGCTCATATTCATCCTGAGCCTAACTTTGCAGCATTTCTCATCATATTTCTCGATAATTGTGGCAAACCGGTACTGTAATTGGCTTTTTATCATTTTTGCACGCAAAAAACTTCACTGTATTAACAGCCTTTAACTAGACTCAACACTCTGCAAAATATTTCTTCAGTGGAATTATTACAGGTCTTTTCGATGGGGCTCATGTGCTCTTGTTATTAAAGAGCTGACCTCTGCTGAATGGGACAACAGCTTCTGCGTATTTCTGCCATCTCTGGCTGAACCAATGAATCAGTTCTTAACAGCGTATGTGATGCTGCAGAGTGGGTTGCAGGCTTTCAGCTAACATATCTATGTCTGCCGGACAGAAGCCAACGTGGCACAGATGTACTTGCAACGTCAATCATAATTCAACAACTCATTGTTACACTTTCTAAGTTATTTCTAATTGTATAAAAAAAACATAGTGACTTAGTGGACAGGCAGGGTTGTGGATGATTTTAATGACCAAGGTTTATACTTTATAGGCAATGCAAGGATGGATGGGGAGTCGGTGAAAGGAAAAATGTTGCGGGTGATTTGGTCACGTGAGAAATAGGGGCAGCAGCGTTTTGGACCGTCAGGAGTTTGTGGGGGTGGACACAAGGAGGACCAAAGAAGAGGGACCCACAATAAAACATCATGAACCAGCAATTCGACTGCTGTAGTATTATACAATAGTGTAATACTATTCTGTTTCATTACAATTCTTTTTTGCAGTATGTAAATTGTAGGTATTGCACTTATAATTTTTTAAAATAACATTCATGTATGCGGTTGAACTTCTTTCACACAGTACATAGCCAGCTGTGCTAATCGGAGGTGCATATTGGATGCTGCCATGGGGTAATGGGTAGCACACTGAACTTGTCATCCAGAGATCCCCATTTCGATCAACCGGTGCAGCAATTGAAACAATCTCTCCACCTCTGTCCATCCGGCAATGTGAAAGGGTACGCTGCAGTTATTCGATCGGCAGGTCGTGTGTGGTGGGGTAAAGTGTGGTTAGTTCTGCCCATTCTCAGATGTCTGTCCAGTGTGGAAGGATAGGCCAAATACCCAGAGAACTCCCTCATGTGGAGGCCGTTCTACCAGCACTTGTGTGAGCAGCTAATTTCAGGACTGGACCTTTCACTTTTGACAGTCACATCCAGTAATGTTTTCAACTTACTGCCGTGTCTTCACTGTTCCTCCCAGGACTTGAGACTGGGCACCATCAGCATCATAAGTGACGATTCATCTCCTGTTGCACCCACAGATTTGCAACCATGGGGATTCACCCTCTGATCCAGGCGTTAATTGACACCAGCGCGGGCACGGCAGGTCAGTTCTCCTGCACAGCCAGCATGCTGTCACTTTTGTCTGTAGGCATCAACTTACCAACTGTAAAGTTCTGCTCATCCTTACATTCAAATATTAAACATCATTCCTTAAGTGCCTCTGAAACCTTCACCCTGAGTTGAAAGGTTGGTGCAGCAGGTGCTTTAAGGGTGTGAAGCCATGTTGTATAAGATTTTAATGTTTTATTACATTTCTCCTATATAATTATTTTAAAAGTTACTTTTAGTTTAAGTTAAAATTTTCATGATATTTGGTTTTATCCACCTTCTGTGCTCGATACATTTTTCTTCAGAGTTTAACTACATTTGGGTGCTGATCATTAATTTAGGGCCATATTCTTATAAAAGTTAACTCTAGTTAACGCGAGAGCAATCGTTACAATCGTCACCGTGAAAGTGGGCGCAGTATGCTTGGTGCCAACATGTTACTTGTTTACACCATTGGAACCTCATTTGCCAGTAAAAAATATGATAATTGGATTTTTTACCCTTCTAGGACAGTGCATACATTATCAGAGTTATGTTTTTTGTTTGCATTATGACTGCAGGTATTGTGGTCTATGCAAACATGACTCCTTGTAAAACAAAAGGTGTCAATTTTGTTGCCAGATAGAAGGGTAAAAAAAACAATTATCATGTTACTTGTTATGAATCTGTCGTGTGGCCGCAGGTGGCATAGCCTGCGTCTACAGCGGGCAACCATTTGACACGGCCAAGGTGAAAATGCAGACCTTTCCCAAGCTGTACAATGGCTTTGTAACCTGCTTGGGCCAGACGTACCGCACCGAGGGCATCAGGGGCCTCTACCGCGGCAGCGTCCCCGCTCTCATCGCCAACATCGGCGAGAACGCCATGCTTTTCCTCTGCTATGGCTTCTGCCAGCGCCTCGTGGCAAAGCTTTCTCACCTCCAGGAGGGCAGTCGACTCAGGTAAGAGGCCTGCATAGGTGCTCGCTCACAGAACTTCTCCCAACAGTCTCTGAAGGCCATATCGAGGATATTTTGTGTGATTGAGGAGCAGCGGTACTGTGGATAGCGCACTGCGCATTGAACCTGGCGAAATGGGTTCAATTCCCAGCCACAAATGACAGTGGCGAGTAATATCCAAACTGGTTTTTGGCCTCTTATGAGGGCAACTTGGCCCTACATGAGTACCTAGTGCAGTGTGTTAACGCTGGGGAGACAAAGGTGAGCAGGTGCGGTGCTGGCCACACCACATCCTTGTGCACCTTGTCGGCCTTTATCAGTGCTTCGCAAACAGCACTTGCCCCAACAGCCTGTTAAAAGGCTGTGCGGGAATACGTTGTGTCTTTAGTGATATAATTTTACTATACATGGCCTGTAAGATTATTTTTAAACAAAGTATAGCAAAAATGGTAGCATCCATGTATTAAGAAAGTCAGTGTTTCCATGCTTAAATGAGTGGTGAGCTTTGTCCGTTGTGGTCACACTTTTTATGGTCAGGGCCAGTCTCTGCATAGGTCTCTCATTATGCCTGGCTTGATGGTGCATGCCTGTAATGCAGCGCTTTCTTGGCAAGTCATTTTACGATGCTGCATTGCCAATGGCTCACAAGCAAATTAAATATTAGACTCATCACATTTGTAAATAACACCGTGGCCTTAAAATAAGAAATATGTAATAGGTGACATTCGGACAATGGGCTTTCTTCATAGCACATCGAGTTGATGTATTATCTACAGTATATTTGTGAGAATGCCATTCCTGTTGAGCCCTGAGGTGGCCAGGTGACTGTAGTACAGCAAGTGGGCTCCTGGCCCACGTGTACAGACCATTGTGTGCTATTTCAGCATGTTCATGTGGTTTCTAAACATGAGAGAAGTGCTCTCACCAGCACTGCCCAACGTGCAAGTGAGTATATTGTACGTGGAATATGTTGAAACGGATTGTGCCAAACTTCATGGAACCTCAGAAGCTGGATGGGCGACCACCATGCGTAAAACAGCTGTTTAAGGCTTCTGCGAGGCTACTTTCCCTTCAGTTCAACAAAGTAAATTGTTCTACTTTACCATGCTCCCAACTTCTCCAACCCACATTGACTAGCGTGGTGAAATATGGTCAAACGACCACCACAACTCACACGGTATAGGGAGGCCCTCATCCAGGAGTGGTTAGACAAAAGGGCTGTCCATGTACTTCCACGCAAATATCAAGTGTCTACCTTTACATGCTGCCAAGTCTGCCAGTAGTTTATTATAAAGACGACGACGACGACGATGATGATGGATGAGACACAGTAAACATATTGACCTCTTGGTTTTATTGCACAGTAACATGCAGATGGCCACAGCCGGTTCCCTCGCGGCCGGGTTCACGGCGATCGTCATCTGCCCCTTGGAGCTCGTCAAGTGCCGCATGCAGGCCATGCGGGAAATGCACGCGGCCGGCAAGACCATGTTCAGCATGGCCGACTGGTAGGCGCTCTGGTGTCTCGTTTCCACTGTGCAGCCGAGCGGCGCTGTGGCCTTGCCGAACTAGCCCCTATGGCAAGGGACTCGTCGATCCATAAGATATCAACTATTGTTCTATTATTTTGACCTTCGTCAATACACATTATGAATGACAATAGCATGTATTCAAGATAAAATATATAAAAGTATTTATGAACAAAAATCGCAATGTTACCCTGCCGAGCCATTATTTGAGATGTTTTGGCATGCAACGCTTTGAGGCTTGTGTGCAAAAGGCACCAAGTTAATAAAACTGGCAATAATGATGATGATGGCCCTACGATTTGCCGTCTTGTTTTATCGCGTGCTGTTCAGCACGGTGTCCTACGTTTCACTCCACTTGTTGAGAGTTCCTTCAGCAAGTTAATGTATGCGTCTCCCAGCAGCTGCAGCGAAACGTCGAGCAAAGCATCGTGCTTCAGAGCGCTATAAAACACATCCGAGAGCTGTGCAGCAAAACGGCAAACACCAGCGTGGCAATGATCACGACGAAGGTGACGATGACATTGACTACCACGCTACCCTTGCACCCCCTCCCCGTGTGTTTCGTGCAGCACGGCTGTGGCGGTAACGAGGAATGTGCTGCGTGTCGACGGACTCTTGGGGCTTTATAATGGACTCAGCAGCACGTGGCTGCGTGACATGCCCGGCTACTTCTGCTTCTTCTGGGGGAACGAGGTGTGCAAGACACTGTTCACGCCCCCCGGCAAGACCAAAGACGACCTGGGTACGCATGTACTGGGTCGCTGATGTGTTGTTGGTGCCCCCCGGTTATTCTCTTAACGAATCCATTGGTCTGCTTAACCATGACGATTTAGTTTATCTTCTCATTGAATGGCTACATCACTAATATAGATATTCAGGCGTTGAAAGAGCTTGTTTTTTTTTTGTACCAAAGCTTTCTGCACCTCTGATCAATTATTATTTCTGTGACAGCTGGGGTCGAGAGCTAATGCCTACCGAACACGGCTTTATAGAATCTAGTGTAAAGCAGCACACATGATTAAAGCTCTTACACTCGCTGATTAACTCCAGTCACTCTGATTCCATCATTCAGTTGATTTCCTGTTACTTTTACCATTGCTACCACAATTAATTTCCCCATGAACGTCATGCTTTTGACTGTTGTCCTCATCCATACTCTGTTCATCTACTTTCGGCATAGGACAGAAACATTTTTATGAATTTCTATGCAGGAATCGGTGCTCTTTGTTGCTGGACACTGAGGTTATAGGCCTTTGGGCCTGTACTCAGCAATGATTATTAAAAATGAAAAATTTCAGTCATGTATCCAGTTATACCTGGTGTATGTGATAGCCTTGAACGTCTGTAATGCATTCTAGATTTGAAGTTTTCGTTACTGGTTTTTTCGGTAAAGTCACGTAGGTAAAAAAATAAAAATAAATTAAATCACGACGTTTCGTACGCAACACAAGCACTCAGATGCAGGTGGGGTTGATGAAATGCCCACAGGTGGAGCCTATGTAAGATACCCATCTGCTGACTGTAGGCAGTAGAGCAAGTAATCCTAATGATCCCGATGTTTGGCCAGGAAAAAAGTATTGTATCTGAATGCTATGATGACTGTTCAGGATGGTTGTGTATTGGGGATGTTTTACCAATGCGTTTTCATGTATGGGGAAAAACTAGATATTGCCTGGAAAGAAACTGTTGGACATACGTGGGTAAAACAATTAAACTCTTCACATATAGGTGTAAACTAAATAATTACTGGACTACCTTTTGCGGGAACATTGACTTGCAAGCGGGCGTCTCATGTACATGGAAGCTCCCATCTTTGTGTGCTCGAACAACCCCATCTCCATGTCAAATGATTTCAGGCATATGTAGTTACAGCCAACCACAAATATTTTTCTTGGCTATATATCGGATAACAATGTATTAATGTCCACTCCAATTTATTAATTCGTTCCCACTCCATCTGTGAAGCCTTACAGTGTAAACAACCCCACCGATGAATCACAACTGGTGGCGTTTAATAGTAATTTGATCAAGTCATCAGTTAACGAAAACATCAATTGTGCATGCTTGCTGGTTTTTTGGCATTTTAACAAAGGCACTTTGTCCTGGTGCTGTTGGCTTGTGCTGCTGTTGGCTTGTGCTGGCGGCTTGTTCGGCTGGCAGGCGCACTCCCACTACTGGTGAGTGGTGGGATGGCAGGCGTCTTCCTGTGGGTGGTCGTCTACCCCTTGGACAGCGTCAAGTCTCGCATCCAAGTCATGTCCATGTCAAGCCGCCAGCCTGGTTTCCTCGCCGCGACAGCCTCTATCATCCGTACTGATGGTACCTGAATATCTACTCAACAACTCACTCGGCCGCTTAGGCTCTTGCTTACCTTAGACAAAGACGAATATACCCCCGTATAGCCTTAACAGACCGTTGGGGCAAATACTGTGAGTGAGCACCTATGAAGGCCGTCACGACATACAAGGGAGTGGGTGGCCAGTACCACGCCCAGCCGCCTATGTCTCTCCAGTGGTGATGTGTACACATTGCATCAGGTACTAATTTTAGGCTGGGTCGACCTAGGAGAGGCCTAGGACTAATTCAGTTAATTGTCACCTTATGCACTTACTCACTCACATAACTACCCACTCACTCGCCCATCTGCTTATTCGCACACACGCTCATTGACCCACTTACTCGTTTATCCACCCATTCGATAAACCCTCAAATAACTTGCTCACTTTTCCAGTTGTTCGTCCAGTCACTCACTTCGGAGGTTGCCACCTCTAAGGTACAAAATCATCTCAGATACAAAGGGAAGAATAACATGTTCCTAAATCAGAGGAGAGAAATAAATGTAAATGTGTTTTTTTGAGTGGTTTATTTTTATGCAACTGACAATATCTGGACTATTAATGTTCCACGAGGATTCTCATAAATCCCAGGATGGCTGCTTCAAATGACATCTTAGAAGAACCAGGACAAATTGTTGTTACCCTACGCATTTATGTATTTGTATAGCAGCTCATGAGTCAATGTGCAGGTCTGATAGCCAAAGCACAGCCTTAAGGAAAGTTGAATGGACGTCTTCACTCATTCTACAGAATTTGCCGACGACGCTTACAATAAGGGGTATGGATAATAAGGGGTAGGCCCGCCTGTTTTGAGTGTTTCTTTCTGAAATGTTAACCAACGTCATGAAATCTGTTAAATGGTAACCCACTGGATGACTCGCCCACACACCAGCTCACATCAACTACAAAGACAAATATCCTGTGTATAGTCTTAACAGACTGCAGGAGCAAGTTCTGTTAGCGAGCACCTATGAAGACCAAGATGGCGGCACACGAGGGGGTGGGGTGGCCTGCATCACGCCCGGCCACCTTTGTCTCCCATGTGGCAATGTTTACACATCGCGCCAGATACTCAATAGTGGCTGAGTCGACCTCAAACCCACACAGGCAATTAGTAAGTAGGTGTGTGGTGGCCACTACTTATTGGACGTTTACTGTGGCTACACACTCGTTCTGCGTTTATCGCCCTCATCCCCATGTCCCCCAACCAGGCATAATGGCTCTCTATTCCGGGTTCACCCCGACCATCATCCGAGCCTTCCCGGCTAACGCTGCGCTGTTCCTCGCCTACGAGTTTACCAGGTCGTCCTTGATGCGCCGAGCGCAGTAGGCTCAGCAGAAGAGAAGGTGAGCCATCCTGGATATTTTATTGGCTGTAGTTTCCATATTGTTTTTCTAACGGACCTAGAATTTTACCACTTTAAGCGTGACCTACAATGGCATTCAATGTCCACAGCGTGATGAGTAGGCACTGCGCATTCGAGATTTTTTTCGCGTGATTTTTCTTAAATGATTTACATTACAATTATGAGGCTAATGACAGTCGATTTTATTATAGTTATTTTTTTAATAAAATAAGGTGATGTTTATTTCAGCCATGGACTAGTTATGTTTATTAGGTTATGCAATGTTAGTTTGTCTATAAGTTGCTGTTTTGTACCTGGATTCTTCAGTGTGAATAATATAACGTTAGATCGGTAATTATCTGCAGCAACCTTTTTCAACGTGCAAATTTATTGTTTTATATTTTTATTATTTTATTGTTTCCCTTTTACGTGACTTTGCCGAAAGAACCAAGAATATGAATCCCTCCAGTCACGAAAGCTTTAAATCAAAATGTGCAGTTGATATAAACTTGTTGTCATCGAACCGTTTCACCGTGACATTTGAGGATCTTCCCTGCCATATTTTCAGGTCTACACGGCAACAGAGGGGTCCGCAGTGAGGAAGCGTGGAGCACACTGCACGTGGACTGATGGAGGAATATACCTCTCACGGAATTGTTACTGCGTCACGGGCAGTGCGGGGTGCATCTCTTGTAGTAGCACTTGTGTTTTCTTTGACGTCACAGTTTTATCGCTATTCTTTTTTTTTACACGCTGCCACAACCACCTTTTTTTCTACCTAATGCCTCCTCTCTTTTAGATTCCTCCTTATAAAGCAACCACAGATGGATGCAATGTTCCAAGATGCATCTATGCGAATGCGATTCACAGGAGGCATAGCTCTATCGGTGCTACTAACGCTTGGAGTGTATTTTGTTTAACTCCGGTGAGAACTCAAGAGACGGGGGATAGTCTCGTTTGCAAGCGTAACCTGCGTTACCAAAATGATAAAGGAAATAAAAGAAAGTACAGCAATGAAGCAAATATAAATCACAGGACGTTTACAATGATGGACCACTTTTGTGGAGCCCAATTCCAGCAGGCATGGTGTTATTTAGAAGCGTATCTTTGCCTTGACATTGGGCCAAATTTGGGCGTGGTGTGCTCTTCTGACCATTTGTTAATGCCATTTATATTGATCTGTATAGAGTGCAAATAGAAAAATAACTGGGTGTGTGCAGTGCGCCTGCGTGTTGGTTACTCGTGTCATTTTGTTCCGCGGTGCGAAATTGTAAATTGCACTAAAAGCATTGCAATATACTTTTCTGTAATATTGTCAGACATTAATGAAGCCTTTATTGATGGTTAATTCAACTCTATAACCTTGCAAAACTGTATGCTTTCAAAACCCAACCATTGAGAGTTGATGGAAGTTATTTTTAAAAGACACCACATTTTCTTGTTTTCTAGTTTAAACACTGGTGCATTGCATCTGTTATGTAGTTGCAGCACATCAGAATGCGTGACCAATTCATCATACCTTGAAACAAATTTCTCTATGTTCAACAGCCACAGGAAATATGAGTGTGCAAGTTGGTTTTCATGTTAATGAGCACTTGTCAGCATGCAATGCCTATTCGTATACGTCAATGAAGACTGAAACTGACCCTTTCAGTAAAGTAGAGTAATTATATACCATTCGTGCAATACAACGTATAATGACGCAATGTCCAGTCCACAAATTCGAAAGAGCCATTACAGCGATACACTCTGCTGCTTCGGACTCGGTTATCTGGCTTGACCCACGTGAATGTGAAATTGTGGTTGTTGTTCTGCATCTACATCAGCCACGCGAAAGAAGAAGTGCCATGTTCTATAATGTGCACTTGAATTAAGCAACCTCCTAATAAGTAGCATATCCAGCAGTCTCAATTGACTTGAGATTCAGTGACAAGCTTCTCTTGAACGCCAACTGGTGGAATTGATTTGTGGAGTCACTTGTGACTTATTCTGATGAAGCACATCCTATCCTTTTTTAACGGCAGCGCACAACTGACAATTGCAGTGTATGGGGTTGTCACTTTAATTGTAATCAATAGTGATTGATTTAATCCTTCAATCCCCTTTAACAACCATTGTAAGTTTTTTTTTTTATCTTTCATTTTGGCTCTGAACTTGTTCATGATTATTGAGCGTTTAGTGTAGAAGTTGAATACCGCAAACCATCGCTGAACGCTCCCTGAGGTCTGCTCGTTGGTTTATTTTACCCACGTCTGGAAGGCATTCCTTGCAGGAAATTTGCAGCAGATGTTTTATTCTCAGATGCCATATATGTCATGAAGTTGCTGTGGTGGTGACATTGACCCCAAATCCCGCTGTGTCGGGGTTGGGGGTTTCAGTGAAGTAATTGTGGACTGGATTGAGAGCTCACCAAACTCAATACATGTGAGAGAAGCATTTTATTCTGGGTGCGAAACCCCGGCTCAAATCCGTAATAGGTGCCCGCTGAATACTTGAACATAGACATTATTCTCCAGTCTCACAAAGCCACCTCCCATAACACCTGATTCCTTGATTTTGCATTATAGAGCTAAAACTATTCAATGGCGATCACTATTTTTGCTCCGTAACAAGCCTTGGGGAGCTCGATATATAAGCTCGTGTTTGCATGGTGTGATTAATCGCTGTCGTTCGGTCTCTTGCCTCGTTTTCTGTAACACGGGAAAGTGAAATTCACAGCTGTTGTGAGTAGTCACACCTGTAATGGGAGCGGTATTCTTCTTTGTGTGCTTTGGTGCCTATTGTGCTGTAACGAGCGGTTGGTTGATTGATGCACATGTGTAGTAATCTCTTGAGACTAAAGCTGTGTGGTCATTATTTCTGATTGTTCTTTTACAAAAGATTGTTTATTTCCCAGAAAAATGTATCCTGATTACGCGTGACTAGGGAGTAGATCTGACTGCGCCGTGTTGGGTTGTATTTTTTTATCCATTAGAATAACACATTTTACACAGTGTATGTGATCATTCAAGTGGCAGAATATGGAAAATTGTCATTTTTGCTAACAAAAAATTGCCTCGCTTATTTTCAAGCGATTATTTTCTGGAACCCAGAAAAATTCACTTTATGTAGAGTTTAATCTGTCTTTGGTTGGTACTTTAGTTTGAGTTACACAGTTCACGTGATCACCATAATAATATTGTAATTTCCTATGTGTCGAACACTTGCCTTTAACGTCGATCATACTGTAAAATGAACTTGTGAAAAATACGTACCTCTTGTGTTTATTTTGTGCACTTATTCAACTTTTATTCACGTTTATTTTGAATGCAATGTAAATGCAAAGGGCTTAAAAAGACATTTGCCGAGTAACGCGGTGCATCTGAAGAATGCTTAATAAAAGTTAACATTACAATAAGTTTCACTTAAAAAAATAAAGTGTCAATATTTTACTTGGTTATTTCATTCAGTTTCAATTAAATTCATTCATTAGGATCTACCTTGTGAGCCATTCGGCTCTTGATTTGGGTTCAACCGCAACAAACAATTACAAGATACACCTAAAATTTATTGTACACAAAATCTGAACATCGCATACGTAAACAATGTTATCAAACGTGAAGCAACGGGGGAGAGGAAATTAGAAACGACAATCCACTGCGTAAGTGTTCGCCGTTCTGTCGAATCCGATATCTTTTCAGGTGTTCAGCATATGGTATCACGTTTCACCTCACTGCGTGCTTCAGGATTCAGTTTCTCGTCAAGCTGCCTTGCGCCTGTGACACGTGATACATTTTGAAAGTACACCGGAGGGCCAAAAGACAACCCACATGTTTTTGTATCACCTTACGTTACACACAGAAATGCATAAACCTCACTCAAAACAACAGGAGAAGTCTCTGCGTTCAGTAATTTACATCAGCATATAAGAACCTATGTGGTCGCACCTAAAAATTGTGCGTTCAAACAGATAACTCAGTTTTTCTGACCAGAGATTGGTGCCAACACGAGAAGGAAAATAATGTTTTTAAATTAATCTAAGGCAAAGTAATTGGCATCTATAAATTGCACCAAGGTACATGTTTTCAAAATTCTAAATTTCCCTTCGGCTATTGCAAGCCTGACCATTATACAACACGTAACGTTGACGTTTCTGATCCCAATATACATATTTAGCCATCGGTTTAAACACATTTCTGCGGAGGGAGCTGGTATGAACGTTGGGTTCGGTCAATGGCCAGGGTCAACGGCGGCGTGGTGTATTCCGCAAATATGCCCGACTAAGGGCGGGCACAAGCCGGCGTGAGTAGGTTAAACGTTGAGTTTTATAAGGGCACCACGGGGTGACCAGCCCCTCCCCACCCAGCCCCACCCCTCCCACGCCCCACCCTCCCCACCCAGCCCCTCCCCACCCTCCCCACCCAGCCCCTCCCCACCCAGCCCCTCCCTGCACGACGGACGGACGGACACAATAATCCCCTGTGGGCTGGTGTAACCAGGAGGTTCCTACCAGTAACATGTTCCTCCAGATGTACAACACGTACCGCACTCTGCGAGTGGAGACGTGGTGTCCGAGCCCTAGCCCATACAAGATCCGGAAAAGACTAAGGCTGAAGCATCTTCTCCCCATGCTTCCACTTACAACTGCAAGCGGGGTCTTGCCATTGAAGCGTGGTTCTTGCTTCCGTCACAATCTCGACTTGAGATTATTACGTGTGTAAACAAACAAAATCGACTATAAATCACTTGGGGGTGGGGGGGGGGCTTTAAAAATGGGCGACCACCTAAGAATTCTCCCTCCTGAAGGTGGGCAACCCCCCCCCCACCCCCCAAACATCACCGAGCCCCGTCCAACAGCGCAGGTGAGAACAGGGAAATGTTTTCACACATTCACGGTATTCGATTAGCCAAGTAATGGAAACGATAATCAGTAATTGATTGCTTAACTACCGTGCAGTAATCGCATATCCCAGCTGTACTTCTAAATGAAAGTTGCATCCACTCTTCATCTCATATGCCTTCATTTAAACTCGTATCCCATTTCCTGTCTCCCTGTTCTTCATGCTCCCCATTCATAGTCTGTCTGAGAGGCAATGAACTCTGTCATCTGTATAGAGTTAGTCAGCAGTGGTCCTTAACCTGGGGTGCCAGATGCCCTTTGGGAGTGCGAGACACGGCCAGATTCTTTTAGAAGATAAATGATTGAAAAACAAATTAAACACGGACACGTAAGTACAACTATGCGTCATCAAACCGATGTATTTATTAACATACATTTTTTTTTTACGATTGTGAGCCAAAAGGGGTGCAAGTCTGCAGCAAAGGAACCACCGAGTTCAGTGTATACGATGCCCTTGCTGTGTGGCCACAAGTCGACACCTGTTGTTTGAGACGGGCAGGCAGCCAATGCAAGTCCGCAGGACACAACGCACGGCTTATTTGCCCTTCAGAGTTCACAGTTCGCACTCTTTCGATTTAAAGCTTTCGTGACTGCAGGGATTCATATTCTTGGTTCTTTTGGTAAAGTCACGTAGAAGGAGAATAATAAAATAATACAAATTATCTTCTTGGTTCTTTCGGTAAAGTCACGTAGAAGGGAAGTAATAAATAATAAAAATAATAAAAAATAAAACATAATACAATTATTCTCACGACGTTTCGGCCACAACGCAAGCAGCCGTCCTCAGGTGAAAACCAGGTCCGTCGAGGCGACAGAGTCTGAATGAAACAGCACACGAGCTTGGAGCATATATATAAGCTGGGCGCATTGACAAAGGAATTTGCATATCAAGAGGAATTTAGCATATTTATGGGAAGTGCAGGAATGTGATTAGTACTGCATATGCATGTGCATTATGCAGGATTAACAGCATCAAAGGGAGCTGCAGTTGCTGCAGTTGCTGCTGCTGCTGCAGTTTCTGCTGCTGCTGCTGCAGTTGCTGCTGCTGCTGCAGTTGCTGCTGTAGTTGCTGCCTTATCCATTTAATATAACACTATGTATTATTCTACCCACCCTAATGTGTATTACACTGCTATATATTTACTATACAATTACGACACCATACATTACTCTGCACACTGCACCATACCAGTGAGTGGAACGCGGTCTGAAAGTCACCGTAAACGTGAACACAATCAGTTAAGATCCGAAATGGTTTATTACGTCCTTCCAATGATTGCTAAGCCAGAATCCATCTTCTCGGTTGAAATTGTCTCTGTGTTTGTATATGTGGATCGCCTCATGAACGAATCTCTCATGATAGCCAGATGGCTTGCAGAGAACCTCTGTCTTGGAGAAGTCAATGTCATGTGAGCCCACTGAATTGTAACAGTGATCTGCCACGGCTGAGGTGTTTGTCCTACCGTGTTTCAGGTCTGCCTTATGTTCACGGATGCGGTCCGAGACATGTCGTTTGGTTTCTCCAATGTAACTGCTACCACAGAGGCAACTTAGTTTGTAGACGCCAGGGTACTGTATGTCTGGAACCACATCTTTTACAGACGGGACCAGATCACGGATTTTATGTACTGTGATTCTGGCTTAGCAATCATTGGAAGGACGTAATAAACCATTTCGGATCTTAACTGATTGTGTTCACGTTTACGGTGACTTTCAGACCGCGTTCCACTCACTGGCATGGTGCAGTGTGCAGAGTAATGTATGGTGTCGTAATTGTATAGTAAATATATAGCAGTGTAATACACATTAGGGTGGGTAGAATAATACATAGTGTTATATTAAATGGATAAGGCAGCAACTGCAGTAGCAGCAGCAACTACAGCAGCAGCAACTGCAGCAGCAGCAGCAACAGCAGCAGCAGCAGAAACTGCAGCAGCAGCAGAAACTGCAGCTCCCTTTGATGCTGTTAATCCTGCATAATGCACATGCATCTGCAGTACTAATCACATTCCTGCACTTCCCATAAATATGCTAAATTCCTCTTGATATGCAAATTCCTTTGTCAATGCGCCCAGCTTATATATATGCTCCAAGCTCGTGTGCTGTTTCATTCAGACTGTCGCCTCCACGGACCTGGTTTTCACCTGAGGACGGCTGCTTGCGTTGTGGCCGAAACGTCGTGAGAATAATTTTATTATGTTTTATTTTTATTATTTTTATTATTTTATTACTTCCCTTCTACGTGACTTTACCGAAAGAACCAAGAAGATGAATCCCTGCAGTCACGAAAGCTTTAAATAAAAATTTAATACAAATTAAACAATACAATTCTCACGACCACACCTGTGGTTTTCACACATGATGATGATTGCTTGTGTCGCAATCGAAACGTGAGAATTGTATTGTTTTATTTGTATTATTTTATTAACAGGACCCTGCGGGGTGGGCTGGTAGGAACGAATAACCAAAGAATATAAACAATGTATTATTACACTTGTTTAGCCAGGAAAGCCCCACTGAGTCTAAAGGTTGTTGTAGGGTCCTGCCAAGTGTTTGCAGTAGGGGGCGATGTTGCTACACCTAATCGGACGATACGAAGGGAGAGTGTGAGGCCTAGGTCTAGGCTTTAGGCCTAGCTGTAGGCTTTAGGCCGCCGTGAGTTAATTTTAAATTTAAATGTTTTTATTATTTATGTAAAAGCTTTAAATTTAAATGTTTCTATTTAAAAGCATCAGGGAATGTAACATTGTTAAACATTAACTCCCTTGCACACACACGGGGGTACGATACGAAGGGAGACTTTGAGGCCTAGTTCTAGGCTTTAGGCCTAGCTGTAGGCTTTAGGCCGCTGTGAGTTTTTTTATTTAATTTCAAAGTTTTAATTTAAAGCTATCTCATTGAATTATAAGGGAATGTTACACGTGTTTAGCCAGGAAAGCCTCATTAATTTAAATGTTTTTATTAAAAGTTATCTGAGGGAATTATAAGGGAATGTTACACTTGTTTAGCCAAGAAAGCCTCACAGAGTCTAAAGGTTTTTGTAGGGTCATGCCAAGTGTTTTCAGTAGGGGGCGATGTTGCTACACGTAATCGGACATCGGACGGACGGACGGACGAAATAATCTATTGTAGGCTGGTCCACTTCGTTCCTACCAGTATTATTTCCCTTCTACCGTGACTTTACCGAAAGAACCAAGAATATAGTTCACACTTTGGTCAGTAGATGGCGATAGCGCTGCATGCGCCTAAAGCAACATGCATTTTGGTCATTGCTACCAGTATTCATTCAGTGGTTGGTTTGCCTAAAATATCTCGTGGTATTTAAATTTTGTTCGCGATGTAAATCAGTGTGAAATAAGGGGGGGGGGCG